TATACGACAATTGACACGCAGTGCAGATGATCGGACTTCAGTTTTCCGTAAAACCGGGGGATGGTTCTCAACTACGAGAATTTCCATCTACGCGGACAGTCGACGTCTCTAAACCTACGCGTAGTTCGACAGAACACTGTATACATACATATATGTTTAGACTGATATGTAAGATCATACTTTTTTCTTCTGGCTTTCACAGTGGATACACAGTTAAGAAATGCAAATTCTGTTAGTCTTACTTTTTTATTGTATCCCTGTCATGACGATTATTTTATTATATTTACGATAGTTTATTATAACTTTTATCACTTCGAGAATAAATAATTATTGGTTTCTGATTGCGTAGAATATAAGCATCGTGTCATCAAAGAATTCCTTGCTTCGATTGATTTGTCATTAATTATTTTTGGTTTTTATTAAACACTAATAAATAATGCTCAATATGAGTTTCTAAGTGGTTAATTTACGAAGAGACCATCATCGGAAGAAAACGAGACGGAATATAAGTTATAAGTATGGTCATATTCTTATCTTGAACCGCATTTTCCATAACTTTCACATCATTTCCGAGAAAAATGACAATTACATTTTTCGTTCCTTAGGATGCGTAGAATCATGCTGTAACAAAATTTTTCGTTCCGGCCGTATGCCAAAATTGGCCTTTTTTTAACATTCTCCTTTCTCTTGTGACTATGAGATTTTATTAATTTTAATTATTGGCAAGTACCTAAAGTGTACGTACCAATGAGAAAATTGTACATAAACGAAAAGTTTGATAATGGGATAAAATTGAAGTTACAGAGTTAGGCAACCAATCAAACAGTCTATACGTGTGTCAGGCCAGAACTGTAAGGCTTAACCCATGCGGCTCCGACCTTCCAGACGCATATTTGGTATTACAGGGGGCGACTCTATCGACCCTACTTGAGCTCTCCTTTCTCTTCTATCGTTCTCTATTGTTTCCTATACTACCTATGAAATTTCATGGAAATCCAAGTGAATTTCTATTTTCATTTTCTTCAATATCCATGTTACCCGAGCCACTTTAAGAATCACGTTACAAACGAAATAATTAAACACAATGGAGCATCGGGAAACAATGATTTCTATGATATGAAAGGAACCGGTAAAATAGTTTAGCAATGGTGAATGACTAGCACGGGGACAAAGCGGAGAATTACCGTTTCACCAGCATGGTAAAGCGTCCTTTCATCGGAAATCGAGTTTTCCCTTCCCCCAGAGAAACGGTCACATTGTGCTATTTGATGTTCGTCGAAAAAGCACAAGCAACCTTCGAACCGGTGAACTTTAAGAACTTTCGAACTTTACGAGGCGTCGAGGACATAGTGGCCGAGGTGATTTTAACGCTTTCACGCTCTCTAAATGTTTCACACCAGCCAACCAGCCCCTTGTAAGATCG